TATAACGAACTAAAATTAGTGGTCCATTTGAGTTCGTTATAACCGTAGTATACTGTATATTTACTTACTGAAAGGCATTTAGTGGTGATACACACAACGTTTCGGAGTATATACTATCTTCATCAGGTGAATGGATGCTATGAAGCAGAGAACATACAAATGTACCTGTAAGAACAACAAAGGTAATAAGATAACAAAGGTGGAAACTTAAGATAAATTGGCATTGATGGGTGATTAGCAATGGACAAAGGGAAGCCTTCACTTAACTTATCACTGATTGGTAATAGGCAATGGACATTGATGTTAGGGCTTTGGTTCATGAGGATGTGTTCGGGAAATAGCGGATTTCAGGTCTAGTTTGTTGAAATATACCAGATCCCCTGCAACTGTGGTCACCAATACAAAGGAGAAACCTTCACGCCGCTCAACACCAGACTTAAAGAACATCAGACCTCTGTCGACAAACTAGGCCTGAAATCCGCAATTTCCGAACTCATCCTCAAGAACCAAGGCCATAACATCATGTGGGAAGCTACCAAAGTCCTGTCTACCAACAACAGCAACAACTGGCGACAATAAAACCTACAGGAAGCCATTGACATCAGGAGACACCAGCCAGCCATGAACTGTGACCAGGGAACCTATCTGCCAAGTGGTTTGGATTTATTCCTTTGATCTTAGCCGGTGCCAATTATCTAGCTGGCTTCCTTTTGTCCGTTGCTAATCGCTTGTCAACACCATTTATCGGTTGGCTCCCCTTGTCAAGTTTCAACCTTTGGTATCTTATTACCTTTGTTGTTCTCACAGGTACATATAATATATGTTCTCGGCCTCATAGCACTTATTCACCATCGCATCCCAATTGCGTGGTTCGATGCTCATGATGTCAATCACTGGATTGTCCGGTCCAGACTCGATTATTTGCAGACCTCCGTCATATAGCAGGAATATTGCTGAGTATGACGTTAAACAACAAACCAATTATAAATATTCACCTGATGAAAGAGTAACTATATACTCCGAAACGTTGTGTTCCTCATAATAAAGAAGTTGACATCCATACATTCTCTTCCTTAGGCCTTGAAATGGTCTGGAGAGTGTCAGGTATAACCATTGTTTGATAATCTAATCACGACCCGTTGAGACACGTTCCTTCGTCTCGTTACCTGTATGTCCTTTCCGAACGCTTCGCCAGTCCACCCCTTGTTCGCTTTGCCCAACTAGATGACAATGTGATGCTATTTGAAATAAATCTTGTAAAAACACCGAACGTGCTCTTCGTCGTTGAACGTGATGCGCCATTGTGTGTGTCGTTGAGCCAGGTTTCATAGAGACGTGTCATGAAAAACCATTAAGGCTAATACAAACACTTTTCGGGGTCTTGAAGTTGCACTTTTCGGCGAGGGTAAGGTTTCGTTTGTGTCAATGTAAATAAGTGTATAAAGTACACAACAGGAGAAACGTTCTGACTGTCAGGGGACTAGTATTCTCATAATGGTTCATCACAACTAGTAATAAAATGTTAGCATTCTGTAACACATTCAGAGCATCAGTTCTTTTATCATATTCTGGGCATATTTTTAAAAGAAATTATAGCTTCCATATCTGTTCACCCTAATCCATTTTGGCTAACGATGTATTCAGCGGTTTTGTTACAGGCCTACCGAACCCGTTTTTTATAACACGTTCCCCTTACGGCGTAAGCCATGCAAAGAGGAATTTGGTCAATTTCTCCAGATCGAGAGCTCGTTCCAAACTTGTGATAATTCTACGTTCCGAGAAAAGGTAAACTATAGTTGGTGAATGATAATATTATGTGCAGGATTATGTGCAGGATTCCCTTTGACTCTGTCAAACCATTATAATTATGCATCACTTGTATGTTTAGCGGGTTTCAGATGTATCCCGATTAATTACGATCATTCTTTGATATTATGTATGTTCCTTTAATCTTGAACATACCAATCTTGGTAATTCATAACTATATTAATTTCATTAATAAACACAACAGAGCATGATCTTTCGTTCACCATGGCATTGAATTCTATCTTTGTTGTTGGAAATTGACTTGTCAACCTAGTTTCAGAGGACGCGTCCCCTTCATCTACGGGACAACACCACTATCCTCACTCACCGCCAATTATCCCTGGTTTCTTATTGACTTATTGTGAAATTGTGGTTAATTCAGGACTTTTCGTGGGAGAGTTGAGCTTAACTCTTAATATCAGTTGTATCACGGCGTGTTGGATGAATATTGGATGCGAGTTCTAAGTGACATAGATCCCTGAGAATAGCACGTTAATTGAAATACTTCACGAGTACTGGCGTACCGACAAATCAACAATCGTGATCAGGGCAATCAGGGATTCGGTCAAAAAGTGACGGCGAAAGAATGAGACGCACAAATTTATCAGAAGTGTGTGTGGGCGGCTGGGGGTATTGACGAGTCAGCTTTTCTTTAAAATAATTTCAAGTTCGAACTTTAGATAGGGACTTCGCACCCTAGGTGGGGCGGTGTTGTTATTAAAGAAGGTTACATGTGTTTGAGGGGCGCAAAATATAATACAACGCCACCCCTTCCCTTTATTGACTGACAATCCGTGTCATCGTTATCAAAACCATATATTTTACCACCGCTTCATGTAACATTTGATACACGTAACGGCGCCAACATATGTGATGCTACAAATGGATCAGCGGTGCACGGGAACAATAACAAGACAAATATTTCAAGTTCTCAATACTCAATACCATCTCGTTTTGTCTTTGGGGATGCAACTCCGTCTAAGGCCAATGACAATACAGGGTTAATATATCAGTTACTGATGTCAGTGCAGCCGATATGAGACATTGCCAGTTGCCTTGGGTTGCGCCAATTTACCTGCCTTAGGTTGGCGTTAATGTCTAATGTTGCATCACTTCAAAACATACATCTAGTACACTTCAGTTTTCTATCAATAGTTAAACACAGTGGTCACCATCGTCTCAATAGCCACGTCCAGTCACAGGAGTCATGGACAACATTCTGCCTCACAGACAACACTGACTGCATCTAGAACACTGGAAAATCAACATTTTATTGACAATCAATAGTTCTTGAATATATACTCACAATGTAATCCCTGCATAAGAAGTTGATTTACACAGCACAGCGAAAGTATTCATTCTGAACAGTGAACAAGACAAGCAAAGTCAACAGTACAGGCTCTTCCTCAGTCGGTCTACACACAAGAGCTGCACCTTTCATTCACACTGGTAACATTATATTGGGTGCACAATAACATATTCACCACGCAAATTCAACATTCCTCCTCAAACATCTTGAGCAGTAAAAGAGAGATAGTCTTGGCTTAGATGTACCACAGGCCATTTGTCTCCGAGTCATGAAGGTCAGGCCACAAGCACAGGTGAGGTCGTACAATAATGTGGTTATATCACCTGGCTCACCTTTGGTGGCCAACCTCAAGTGAGGTTTACTTCCTGGTTTGTGACATGGGCAGATGATAATCGGTTCTGCTGCAATGGGAGACAACTATGCACAGGTAATTGCTCCATTAATTCAGGCTCGTAAGTTTGCCTAGCTCATGTACCATTTAACTGACCACATCAGGGTTAGAACAAAAGCTATTCTAGCATGGGTAAAGATAAAATATCCTTGTAATGATAAAACAACGGAGAAATTAATAATAGCCCACATGAATTTGTACTAGCCCCAGACTAGAGGGCTCGTGTAAAGTACTAAACCATAAACCATGCTATCATAGATAGAACTTTACCAAACTACAGTATATATTGCTGATATTAAAAACATCAGAGTCATTTCTTACACTTAGTTCTGGACTAAAATATACTTATTAACAGTAGATAGGTATGAGATATAACATGAGTGGGAAACAAAGATATCTTGGCCATCACAAACATGTCCTATGACTCTAACATTAATATGTATCAAAATCCTGTAAATGTCTTTTACTGTTCACATTTTCTTTTTAGATACAAAGCAAAAGATTGTGTTCTGTATCATGTAACACTTTACATTGGTACTGTGGTGAATCTGCTCACGCCTACACACTGCTGTATACAACATTGAAACATGCTACATGACACACCCCTATTACCTCCTACTGTTCTCGGCATTCTGTATTAAAGGGCAAGTTCACACGGAAATGAACCTATTTTTCTTGTACTTTTTCCACATTAAAAGTGTTAACCTAGTAGTGTCATAGACAAAAATATAAAAATATCACAATTAATTAACATATGTTTTGCATTAAAACAATTTATATTTTTCACATTTACCAAGTGTTCTATTTTCATAACAAAAACACCATGGCTTATGCCCCTTGCAATATGACGTCATTGGTGCCAATTGATAAACATTATGACGTCATCATGCTATGTTAGAGCCGCTTCACGTGGTGTAGGTACAGCTGTGTGATTCTAGCGTCTCAGATGCCAGCCAGCATAGTGTTATGCTGAGTCACCACTGCGCCGGAGTGTGTCGTAGGCCATGTTGTTTTACCGAAAACTGGTACTTGATATCTTTTGCGTTGAGAATAGACAGGGATCCAGTTGAATTGGCACCAATTACGTCATAATCTAAGGGGGATAACTCAGGCCTGTTTAGCTCGAAAAACGAAGGCCTCATAACGGCATATCATTTTCACACTATTGTGAGCTTCCTACTTTCACTGTGAAAAAAATGAGTTTACATTTTCAAACACAGATATTAACTAATTCTAAAATTGCGTTTTGTTTAGAAAAAGAAAGAAAGTGATTTTTGCGTGTACACTTCCCCTTTAAGCATGCAAAGCTACACTTGTCATCTGGTTGAAAACAGAACAAGACCTGGCAAAGTTACACTTGTCATCTGGTTGCAAACAGAACAAGACGTGGCAAAGTTACACTTGTCATCTGGTTGCAAACAGAACAAGACGTGGCAAAGTTACACTTGTCATCTGGTTGCAAACAGAACAAGACGTGGCAAAGTTACACTTGACATCTGGTTGCAAACAGAACAAGACGTGGCAAAGTTACACTTGTCATCTGGTTGCAAACAGAACAAGACCTGGCAAAGTTACACTTGTCATCTGGTTGCAAACAGAACAAGACCTGGCAAAGTTACACTTGTCATCTGGTTGCAAACAGAACAAGACCTGGCAAAGTTACACTTGTCATCTGGTTGCAAACAGAACAAGACCAGGCATAGTTACACCTGTCATCTGGTTGCAAACAGAACAAGGCAGTTCTGACACTGACATCAATCACAAAGACAGATCCAGCCAAGGGAAAGTCAACTTGGATGCGATGTGAGCCAGTGACCATTTCAGTCATAGCAGCCCACTTCTTGTCAAAAGCAGATCTTCACAACATTTGTTCATAGTTCTCAACAAGCTGAGATGTTTTCACCCATTAAACTCCATCGACTAACTGATGCAGAACACACAAAAAACACTGTGTCCATGGTTGCTGAGTGGATGATTTGCCACAACTTAAATACCATAGAAACATTACAAACTAGCCCATGTCACCAGAGCTTGAATGAATAGCATGTTATTTCACCGCTGACATATTGCCATGAACATCTAGATGTATAGCAACCAGGGAGATACACAGAATACATCTTCTGATCAACCTAATGTACATACCAACAGTCAGTTGTTATATTCAGACAGAAAAATAATTAAGCAATCCAAAACAGCAAAACCTGCATGACTACATAACTGCAAAGGACAAAGATTAGAGGACATTTTGCTCACATGTGCTTACATGAAAGAGAATAACCTTCATGTTTTGGACAACACTAAATGCATATATGAGGGTTAATGTGTCAAAAGGCTGATTTCAAGGTATTCATAAGGTTTTTGTAATGTCAGAATACTGACCATGTATTTTAAGCAAGCTGATTTTTAGAAGATGTTGATAAAAGCAGTTGTAACACACATTACTAATTCATCTTAGGTGACAGACTTGCTCCTACTTTTCACACATATCAGCATTACTTATGTATTATGTCCATGTCGGATGTAAAATGCTTACATGTGTAAGAAAGCTAGTTGTCAGTCATGTGAACAGGTCAAATTATGTTCATACCAAATTAAAGTTTGACATTCCCAGAACTCTAATCCCACCTATTATTGTACAAGTCATTTCTCAAAAAAGGAAAATTGAATGAATGTTGAAAAAAATACCTATATCATTATTTTTTCCATGTACATTTGCAACAAACTAACCCACTATCCCAATTTTGCAAAGACACTGGAAATGTGATTTCCTAAGCATGTGATTGAATGGAACTAATTACAAAAGCTAATGTATTCATACACAGCACATATTATGTAATAAAAAAAGGCTAAGAAACAAGGTCTTCAATTTTTGGTTTAAGCAAAATCAATTCAATAATTTTCAAACCTAACCACAAATTGAAAAGTCTATAATCCACCAGCAATTTGACAGGCACTTTCACATCAAATCCGCACTGTCCTTAAATAAAATCCTGGGTTTAATCAAGACATCTAAGTACATTCAACATGTTTCCAAGGTTACAGGATGATTTTCATTTATTTTTTCTTAACATGTATGCTTATGTGTAAGATGGGAAAAGGAATTAATTATCAAGGAGAAAAAAACACTTTATTGTATGATATCGTTATCCTGATTCCTAAAATTCAAACCTGACAGGAAATGTGAGATTATGGTTTATTTCTGACATAACTTTTACAGAAACAAATTTTATTTCAGAAATAACCCCTTCTCATTTAAGAAAAATAACACCTTTCTCATTTCAGAATAGCAGGGATATTAACATTTGGCTTTTCCTTTCTTCTTGTACAAGAGCAGGAGAAACTGGTGCCATGCTTATGGCCAGGATGTCACTACACATGGATGAGACATGGCAGCCTTCAAGTAGTTCAGCAGGCATGCAGAGGAATAAAGTTGGAAATGTAACAAACATAAACCACAACTAAAACAGACACAACAAAATGTGATTTTAGCCTGATATGCATTGTGTATGCATTGTGTATGCGTTACGGATGTCAGTGATTGACCACACACCAATGTCAGGCACACCACAGGTGGAATCAGTGAGGATGACAATGACCAGCACATGCCACTTTATAAAGCAACCGAGGAAGGAAATATACATCAGTGACCAGATCATCTTCCTGAGGCAAGGAAGTAACTGACTATTCAAGTCCAGTTACCACCCTTGCTGAACTAGCCTGGAATTTCTTCATTATATTTTGGTAAGCCTAACAAAAAGATTTGTTCAACCCGCTTCATTTACAACATGGTGACTGCCATGCAGAATTTGGTTGACGGCAGCATTTACAAAGCATGTGTACCACAAACTGGGAGTCGTTAGACATTTCCAAATCTTTTCATTAGTTTGATATGCTTTGATGCACCTCATAAGGTAAGACATGTTTTATTAAAAAATAGATTTTGATTATCAATCAGACAGTCTTCACAGGGTGCTCCCACTTTCTCAAAAGCAAATGTAAGTGATATGAGAGGTAGAATCTGATTGGTAATAGGAGTTACATAGAAGGGACAAAACTCGTTAAAGCCAAGGGTGGCGCTACTATCGAGCCATGAACTTCCAGGCTAGTTTGGCAATCGTGGAAACTGGACTTTTTAACACCTTTGCCTCGGGAAGATGTGACGCAATACAAACATGGTAAAATAAAGAACACAAAGGCCACGACCTAGCCAGAAGAAACAAGTATAAGTATTGACTGCCACAATTGTCTTTACCATGAAACTACTCTCACCAATAAGCAAACATTACTTCTGTGATAGAATTACACCAAGCACTCAACAAGGTTAAAAAAACACTTGACAGGTAAATTTTATCCTGCATTTTTTGCATACCCAAAACATATATTTACACTTGTTATTCATACAAGGTCAAAAATAACATTTAGATAAAGTATCTTCAAAGAGAAAGATTATCCACCACAGACACAATATTGCAGTTTTTCCAAGCCTGTGGTTTACGATATGATCCTAATGCTAGCAGAAAGGACATGGGCCATCTGGTTGGCTGTCACGAAGCACCAGGTAATGTCAGTGGATAGTACTCGTCAACCCTGTCATCTTGAGTTCTTGGGTGTGCTTGAGACGCTCCTCTGTGAATGATCATTTTCACGACTATCACAAGATCTTGAACTCGAACTTGACCGCCGCTTGCTGCTGCGATGTGGAGATGTGCGGCGCTGCTTGCTTCCATTGGGGGTAAGAGACCTTGATCTGGTGACCTTGCGTCTGAAAATGATTCCACTTTACTGTAAGTTTCACATTTATGAAAAGCATACCGTATATCGCTGTGTATAAGGCGAGTTTTTCGTACCTAAAATAAGGGGGCTAAGAAGGGGGGTCGTCTTATACACGGAGTCGAAGATCTAACATTTTTTTCCCACTGGCGATGTCAACCGGCGTCCGATAGCCAGCCCAGCATTTGACAATATAACTTCGCATTTCGTCCTCAATAACTGTTCCAATAACTATTTCCATACATAAACATGATTTGTATCTCTTTCCCTTGAATAAAGTTTAATAATTTCTGCAAATAAAGTTGAAATGACCCTCGCCTCGATGCAGATTGACACGGTAAAACAATCAACATCCGCGAGTAGAGAGCCGGAAGTACCGGTAAGCATTTGCATATTGCACATGTGACCTAACATGTGATAACCGGTGAAGCTGAAATCAATTCCCGCTGTTTTTACAGTTGTATTAACAAGTGTTGGAGACGGTGTGTACAAGTGATTGTGGAATAAACACGCTGAATGTGAAGCAAACATAAGTCTAGTTAGTTACAACATAGTTAATTGGCGATTAAATTACTCACCATTGTCTCTTATATGTTATTACTTCATAAATGAATTTTATTTTACGGGCCCCAATTTGGTGTCGTACCGTGTAAACACAAAATGGCGACGTGTGCTGGAGTTACACACGCGACCTATCGTTGTAGAAAAAAAACAACGCAAGATAAACATATTTTTATTGCATATATAAGGTTTGTGTGCGCACTTGTAATGTGTGCGAAATACGCATCAGTCGGAAAGCGCACGTTAAATCTCCAAAGTAACTAACTAACTTCTGATGTCCGTGTGCGAAATACGCTACAGTCGGAAAGCGCACGTTAATCTTCTATATCAGTCAGACTTGTGATATGTTTCATTCCCGGTCGCCTTATACACGGAGTATAGGATTTTGGGTTGATTTTTAAGGCGTGTACAGGGGGGTCGTCTTATACGTGGGGTCGCCTTATACACAGCGATATACGGTACTATAGAATTTAAAATTTCCTAATTTCACACATGTACACATCACATAAGCCTTGAGACCTATCCCAGCACTTTTCAGGTTACTCCAAGCACTGTGGTACGTAACAGTTGTTCAAACTACCTATCCACTGCTATGAGATATGCCCCCAGTTGAACATGTGGTACATATATAATAAGCAAAAACTGCATTAATTACAGGAGTCAATTGTTTACTTGAGAAATAAAATATGTCTGGCATTGTCTGTTGTCTACAAGTTAGTAAAATCTAAATATGTTTTACATTTGTATACTTACCCTGCATTACTCCTTAATGCATTCACTGCTTACCTTATGACAAAAAAAAGACGGCGTACAGTGATGATCTTGAGTGAAGAAATAAAGTTGTTTCAAAGTCCCACTCCTGCTTTTTGTACTGACCATCACCGCTGTCATGTGACCTTGATGACAAGTCACCTTCCTCACATCACTGCCTGTTGCCCGAGCTTAAAAAACATACTTTTGAGGTTTCTGAAGCCAAAGTCGTGAGGCAAAACTGCGAAGAGTGGGTCCTTAAACATAGGGTGGGTCCTTTTCACTTATCCTGCATTACTCACCCAAAAACAATGACACATGTTTGTCAATAATCCATGAGGCGGAAAAAGCTCATGCCATTACGGTAGGGTTGTCCAATCTTCTTACAGAAGGAACATAGGAATTAAACGATAGATCCCTCTACATATTTAGTAATAAAGAAATGCTAGCTAAACAGCTAATTCTTTACCTGCTGTGTCATCACGCAAAAGCCTGGAGGAAAAGCTTGTCTAATTTTCTTCCACTGGCCGAGTCTCAGCAACTTGCGCGGGAAGTAGTCAGGCTCTGTATAGGCCGAGATCATTATTTGCGTCAGGCGTTGGTTACCTGCTGATCTACTACCAGAGGCCCAAAACTTTGCGCTTCGATATCACTCGAGAGCCACATCACGAAGATAATGACTAGCGAAAACTCTGTTGGGACGTCAAAAACATCCTTCCATGATTGTTTTAATAGAGCATTTACTATTTAATGCCGTGGACAAGGCTAATGCCCTTAACTCGTGAAGAGTATTCGCTCTCAGCGGATCAAGTTTGGCCATGTCATAAGCCTGAAGGATGACTGCGAGTAGTCCTCGGACATGGGTGTAGGAAATACGGGTATAAATAACCATTTCCTTGAACCACACCTTGTTTTGGAACGGCAGATGAAAACTTGCAGTGCTTGCACTGGGCACAAAAGAAGTTCACCCTCATCTTCGACTCCCACAATCTTATTGGTGGGAAGATGAAGGAACAATCGGGTCGGCCTGGTAATTGATTTTTTGCTAAAAATTCCCAGCACAACCGGATGCGTACCATGCTCAAAATGGCCCCGGGTGATGTCAATTTCATGTAGCTCACCCACCCGTGCCGCCATGGCTAATGCCAAGAGAAAGATTGTTTTCTTGGTGAGGTCATAAAATAAGGATGCAAAGAGGGGCTCGAAGGGGGGTACCTCGCAAACCTCGAAGTACCACGTTCAAGTCCCTAGCAGGGGGACGGAACTTAGCCTTCTGATCCTCAAGCCTGAATGAGCGTAGTAGGGCCTGTAGCTCTGGGATCGTGGTCCTTTTGCGAATTTCCGAGACGGCCAACACTGAGTTAAGTGCTACCAAATTGTGCTCCCTTTCAAGTGTTTCTTGGTACGCAAATGAAGGAGGTATTCGGCTAGTAATTGTGGTGACCAAGTCGTGGGATCTTGGTTTTTTGCCTTCTAAACAGTCTGAAACGATCCCCACTGGTCATTGTAAAATCCTCTGCTAAACTATAGCTTTAGCTGCATGTGCAGAATAGCCCTTCGCACTTAATGCTTTTTAAGACAAACCAAGCGTGCAGAAGAAACCTGTCTGGCATTGGGTGAGGCAATTTGTTGTGAGGGTGGATGAGTAGGTTTGAACCACTGTGGGAGGGGTAGTGGATTTGCTTTCTGCTTGACTTCTGTTCTCAACGAACCACCCTCTCGCCGGCTACCAGGAAGCGACCATAGTCAGAACAAGCTTCCTTGTCTCTTTGATCTTTTGTATCACCTAAGGAAGTATAACAGGTGGTGAAAAAATGTACGCTTTTAGCCCTTCCTAAGGGATTCTGAATGCATCCACAACCCAAGCCTGCAGGTTCCGTAACAGGGAGACATACGTCACAAGTTGGTCGTTTTGGCACATAGCAAACAGGTCGATGTTTGTTTGCCCCAACTTCTGAAGCAGTAACTGAAATGCTTCTGTGTGAAGTTTCCCTTTTATCCACCCTGTTACCCGGGGAGGGCTCCACTTACACGAGATGGTCTGCTACCCAATCGGGTACTTGCGCTAAACCGAGATGGGTATTCCATTCCACAGAGGAATCACCATCCTCGCCATTTGATAAGTCCAATGAGTCAGAGTGATGTTGACAAACTCGCTTAGAAGGCGATTGGCTTCTGCTCCAGTAAATAGCGCCTTCTCTATCAGAGGGCTTTGATGACCTGCCTGGTGATAAGGAGTTAGGTGCCGGTGTAAACATTAATACTTGAGCCATAGTTGTAGATGACACAGGCGTCTGGTACATGGGCGTAGTCGCAGGATACAGGTGTGCCAGTACTTAAGTTATCATAGATAAGTAATAGGTAACGGGAACCGTGACCAGGGAACCTATCTGCCTAGTGCTTGGGACTTATTGCTTTGATCTTTGTCGGGGCTAATTACCTAGCTGGCTTCAATTTGGCCTTTGCTATGTCCATTCTTCCACCTATCACTGCTAATAACCCCGGCCTCCCGTTTGCCAAGTGTCCATTACCTATTACTTATCTATAATAACTTAAGTACTGGCTTCCATACCTTCAGCAATAATTACTGTCAAGTTATGGCTTCCATTGGCTCTTGCTATTCACCTATCAGTGCCAATCATCTGCTGGCTTCCCTTGTTAGTTTCTTCCCTTTGTTATTATCAACCTTTTGTAATCTTAATAATTTTGTTGTCCTTACTTGTACATATATATGCTCTCTGCCTCATGGCATTAATTCACCTGATAAAGGAGTAAGCATAAACTCTGAAACGTTGTGTTCCTCATAATAAAGAAGTTGACATCCATATATTCTCTTCCTTAGTGAAAGTAATATGAAGAGAATACATCACCCATTGCAGATAAAATTCAGAATTATACCCAAAACTGAAGGTCTAAAATTATCCAATCTAAAGAGCTCTGCTGAGAGACGTCCTTGCTGTAGCGCAACAGGCAGTGATGTGAGGAAGGTGACTTGTCATAAAGGTCACAGGACAGCGGCAATGGTCTGTACAAAAAGCAGGAGTGGGACTTTGAAACAACTTTATTTCTTCACCCAAGACCATCACCGTACGCCATCTTTTTTTTGTCATAAGGTAAGCAGTGAATGCATTAAGGAGTAATGCAGGGTAAGTATACAAATGTAAAACATATTTAGATTTTACTAACTTGTAGACAACAGACAATGCCAGCCTGAGCAATATAAATTAATAACAACTTGACATCTGATGATTCCTAGACGTATCTTATTGATTTTTATTATTGCCTGTATTGTCCTGTAATTGATTTTGATGAGGTCTTAAATGTCGTGACTATTACACATCCACAAAGTTGATTCAAGGAATGTAACAGCCTGCAACACTAACATTTAGATTCACCTGTCTTGTTTAGCAAAAAAAAAATGCAAGTGAAATATTAATAAAACGTAATTTTGACATGCTTTCTAATCTGTAACATTACATTTAGAAGCATGGCTGCAGTCACTGATGGAGGTAGTCTTGCTCATTACTGCGAAGGAAATGGAAGTTAATGTGACTTCCCTAAACAATAGCATTATGTAGCACATGTGACCCCCCAAAAGAGTGTAGTTCGCCTTGGACATTAATATCAAGTTACTGATATAAGTTGAGACATGTTTCATTGAACTGTAGCCAGTAGATCGATGAATGCTGAATTGACAAGACCCACTTACATCAGTAGGCTTATTTGAAAGGCACAAGAATTGTAGAATGTTCCTAAACTTTGCACCCTGTAGTCACCCGTACACTGTACCATTCCGATAACACTGCCGCTGCCCCAAAAGGTGGTGATTCAGGCAACAATGTACAGCACTATCTGTTGTCTTAGATGATGGGCAGCACCTTTCATCTTGTCCCCAACAATGATAGAACTGGACACAAAGTTAAGTGAAATCAGGAACGATGCATGACTATGACGGTGACTGCATGTCCATCACACTGACCTCTTGCTGGTGTTCTCCCAGTCAGAGTCGGAGTCACTGTCCGAGCTGGAGCTGGAGCTGGAGCTGGAGGCAGAGCTGGAGCTGTCAGAGTTGAAACCAGTTGGCTCCTTGAGGTCTACAGCATCAGCCACATCAGCCAACTCAGGTCGCTCCCTCTACACAAGCAAGACATCAATAGTTCATAATCCACAATATCAAAGAAGAATGAATTATTTTACAAACTATACAGGGCAGCAGTAGACCTAATCTGCTGAGTCAACAGCTCATACTACTAAATATGATGGCAGAAGTAGGCCTGTTCTGCTAAGTGGTGAAGGGGTGTGTTCCTGGTGCTCACCAATCATTACCAGTTAGGGTGGCCTCTTGTCCATGCGGCAATTCAATTCCCATAACGCTGTGTAGAAATTCAGTTTGGCCTGTTTTTATATTTTTTCCCCTATTTGTTATCAAAAAAGTACTAACTTGCATGAAGAAAGACACAAATAGTAACATACATTCATTATGTTTGTATTAATGTACTTTCGAATTTTTTTTAACAGTAATCTTGATTTAGAAAAGGAAAATGTTTAAAAAAATGATGCAAAACAGTAGGGTAATTTCAATTGGTAACTGCAAACTTCATGTGATGAATTTTGTAATAAAACTTATATCATTTGAATCGCAAACGCTTAAGGAACACTATAACACACAGTAACGCGATGTTTTTTACCAAATTTCATGCGTAACGTGGTGGCGACAAAATATCAAAAGCAGGAGAAATGTGTTGGAATTGGTGGGCAAGCCGTTTGCGTGCATTCAAGGGAGGTAGCCTAGTGCAGCTTATTTACCATCAGCTGCCAAAAAGAAGCGGCCACAAAATATTAACTGATTACCTCCAGACAAACATTCCACATGACTTCGAGTAGGTCACGTCAGGAAAAGCCTTAGTGAATATTCACCACCCATATCTGAATGAACGACTTGTGGAATCTCACGCCAATGAAATGTCAGCTTTCTAAAAGGATTCATCTTTTTAATTTTTTTATTACCTTTATTCAGAAACACATCCCTTAAATTTGCAACTACCAATGAAGAGTAGGTCTTACACCAAATGACTGCTATTTCAGAGCATTATGGCACCTAGGACCTATACGTCAGTTCTGTTCTCTGCCCGAGTAGCAAACTCTGAATGTATGTTCCATGTGTGTATGTGACCAACATTTCATCCAGCACAGCATTCACATATCAGCTGATTTGGGTTGAGGGAGTGCTGACAATGTTTCAGAGCTTGCCATCTAGAGGTAGGGCTGGCTAATAATACTGATCCTCAGAATCATTGTCGATGGGAAGAATTATTAGTGATTATCAGTGTAAAATTGTGTCATTGACAATATTTTCCATGAACTATTGTTAAGAAACAAAGTTTAATTTACTGAAACAGATTTGTTATTGCTGGAGAGCAATCTGCCAATCATGTCTTACAGACTGAATACAGTCCTCGCTATATATGCACTATTTTCATAACTCTTACTCTTATCAAAGCAAAAACTGAAAAAAAGTATTCCTTAATGTCATTTACTAATTGGTTAAAAATTCCTGTAGCAAGGGTCGGCCCTGAAACGGAGACAATGTAGACATTGGCCTTTAGTACTGTTTGTGTTTACAGTTGGTAACAGTGAAATTTAGACATTGGCCTTTAGTACTGTTTGTGTTTACAGTTGGTAACAGTGAAATGTAGACATTGGCCTTTAGTACTGTTTGTGTTTACAGTTGGTAACAGTGAAATGTTGCATTGGCATTTCATTTCAGCATCAAAGTCATTAAAATATAACAAAAAAATATTTCTATGTTACATTTACCGGTAGTTCTTTCATTTCCTATCGAAGCATATTTGCTCCAAGTTACTTCTCTGATATTTATCGCTAATAAATTGCTTGGTTGTATGTCACTATGGTTTTATCCTACTTCCTGCACAGTCATACAAGCTAAAGACAAGCCAGGTCCTCACCTTCAGTACTTTGTACCACTTCTTGGACAGCTTGGGTCTACCCCGCACAGTCTTGTGCCACACTATCGGGAAGTTGGTGACGCTGCAGAAGTTTTGTGTGACGGCTACTGTGTCTGTGAGGTTGATGACCACGTGCCACCAGCCCCCAGGAACAAACACTGTCTCCCCTGGACACTGGAGAATTTCTAGCTGTAAAATGTGCAAATTTACTTTCACCATGACAACTTAAATCCAACATTAACAAACAGCTTAACTTTCTCAGCGAGGCATGTTATGCTTTGGGCTGAAACTATATTACATTACAGAACATTGTGTCACACTTTAATATTAAATAAGACATTTTAACGCCTAAGCTTCAAAAGACAGAATATGAGCAATATCTGCATTAGAATATGATCACTGTTCATCATTATCAAAGAGAGAATACAAATGCTGTCATGGTCATTATACAATGTTTATTTAGCAATGTTTAGTCTGTTACTTGCATGCTTTAGAAACTTTTAGATTCACATCTATAGAACAAATTAAGGTGGTGAGGTGAAATGGGGATAGCGACATGCATGCATGTGTCTGTGGCTGCTTGTACAAGTCCGGACTAATGCCAATTTTATAGTGCTAGCCAACTGAGATACCATGCCTCACTCAGACACAGTATACTGACCAAGCCGACCAGTCCTTGTTTAAGCCCCTTAATGCCGAGTGCTAAACAGGGTAACAACAAGTACCATCTTTTAACATCTTTTGGTATGACGCGACCAGGGATCGAACCCCGACTTTCCTCTCCCCAGGGGGACGCGTTGTAAAACCAATTAAAGAATCCATGACTGTTTGTTTGTTTGTTTATTGTTTGACACTGCACTCAGCAATACTCCAGCTATGTGGAGGCAGTCTGTAAATAACCAAATTTGGACCAGACAATCCAATGATTGACATCATGAGCATCGATCTACGCAATTTGGATATGATGACATGCATCAACCAAGTCAGCGAGTCTGACAGATAGATCCCACTAGTCACCTCTTATGACTGAGAGGCGACTGGGTTGCTGAAGACCAATTCTACCCCGGAATCTTCACAGGACGAATGTATGACTGATAGACATGATAGAGTTGATACTAACATTATTTCAGTCACATCATGGAGTGATAAGTGAGATATAGAGATTACGACACAAGTTGTTTCAAAACGTATCTAACGAGCGAAAGCGAGTTAGATACGCTTTGTAACAACGAGTTGTAAGATCAATGGTATCTGACAGGCACGAGTGCAGTAATCTGTTTCTTACACACCCTAAAATCGCACCTTTTTAGCATCAAACCGATGCATTTTGTCTATTCTCATGATTGCAGTAGCGCATTAATACATAACACCATTGTCTTAAGTGACGTCATCCTATGTGCTGCTCACTACTCATAAATAATGTGACCCTACACAAAAAGGTTTCTGTTTCATATCTGTGGATTATCAAGGCGACGATAAAAATGCAAACTAGACAAAAACAAAGAACACGCTGGGCGCCAAGATGCAAGTTTACACCTCAAAGAAATTACCAAATATGTACAACAATGTTTACTTCCGTATGACATCACTACCAGTGACCGACTTTTACAAAATGGCTTGTTCACTGACAACAGTAAGTTGGATTTCCAGAGGAGGATTTTCGTTGATTGAGGGATCGTATACACATAAATGTGTCACATAAGTAATTAGAAACATTCTGACAATCTGCGTACTGTTATTTGTTTACCATGTTTTCCAATGTAACAAAGAGAATTAGTCAGAAATGCAGATAACTACGATCAACTACCGTCATCGTTGTGCGTGATTTTGTAGAATTTTCCTATTCGGAATATTCTATAAGTAATACGTTACCACTGTTATACCGAGGCTGTTGTCTCCCACAACTGCTGCTATAGCGAAATCTACCACAGAGATCTCAATTACCTCATGCAGCACGTGCGTAGCCACCTAGCTGCCATGTGACACCCTTCACTCTTGTCTCCTGCGAGAGCAAGTGCTCGGGGGACGGACGGGCGGGCAGCAGCCCAGTGGTAACGTATTACTTATAGAATATTCCGAATAGGAAAATTCTACAAATTACATTAAGTAATACGTTACCACTGTTATACCAAGGCTGACTACCACAGTAGGCGGTGGGGAGCACCTACAACCCGAATCCTGACTGCTAGCGTTCCTTCCGACCAGCGGAAGTAAACACCAAGGCGGAAGCACTCGATGCGCATGCACCTAGCTTGGCGTTACCCTATAGGAATACCAAAGCACTTTCAAGCGCATACCGTAAGGCTCAATCGTCATTGCCAAAACGATTGGTGACTCCAAACGGCCCCACTGGATAGGTATTTCATCGCCGCAGCGGATGAGAACACTGTATCCGCGTGAGCTAAATCTTAGATCAGGTTAAACAGTCGAAAGAGGGAAATTAATTTCATTCAGACCGTATATCCCCGAGCAAGCCTACTTAAAGTATGTAATAGGCGCGTGACCTAATTCCAGTATTCGTAAGCATGTATCACAAGGTTGGAATACACGACAGACAATTAAATGCATAATTGTCAAAATACAAATAAGGACAAAACACACAAAAAGCCGCCTCACCTGTGGTGTGAGTGCGCTGGTTTGCAGGACCCCCACTCCTGTACCCACGGCGTGGGAACATTGGAGACAACCCAGATTGACCACCGTGCAAGGACTGACGACTGCGTTTGGAATTGCGCTGGACACACCCCCTAGATGACCGCATGTGCCGCGATCAGCGGCCCAAGACGGTGCACCCCCTCCACGCCTTTCTGAGGTAATGATTGGCAAAAAACGAGTCAGAACGCCAGTAACAACCTCGTAATATTCTGTGAACAGAGATATTCAAGTATAGGGCAAATGTTGCCGCTAGCGCCCTACCGGTAACCCCCGAGACCGGTACGCCAGATTGATGACAGAACGAAGCAACAACGCAATCGAGTTGCGAGTTATGTCAACCGCGCGATTAGGGTTACACGATATCAACAGACGGTCACGCCCTTGTCTACGTTCATTCGAAGCCTTAAGATAATACTTAAGGGCCCTAACCGGACACAGCGCTCTGTCCTCAGTATCAGCAGGATGTAAGATTTCTTTGAGTGATCTTACAGTGAATTCTCTCTCCGTTTGCCCGATTCTCTGATTCTTGGCGACGAAGCCCATGAGCAGGCCCAGGCGGACCGCTCCTTCGTCACCCCTATCGAATCGCACCTTGGCGACATCGAGTGCATGAATTTCGGATACACGTGCCGCCGTGGCAAAGGAGAGGAGAAATGCTGTTTTCCAAGTCACATGCCGGAACGAAGCACTATGCAAGGGTTCATACGGAGCTTCCGTAAGTGATTGCAACACTAAGGAAAGATCCCAGGCCGGTGCCCGAAGACGGCCCTTCTTAAGATCGTGCTGTTTGAAACCCTTGATAATACCCCGTATCACCGGCTCTTTGGAGAGACTGGTACCCATAGCAACGTCCCGGACCGTAGCAACGGACGAGACATAGTTGGCAATGGAACCCCCGGAGAGTTTCCGGGTCTCTCGCAAGTGAGACATGAAACGAGCAATATCCTGCACAGATACCTTATCTGGCGCATGAATGTGATGTTTACAACACCACTTCCTGAAAATAACCCAACGTGCATTATACACCTTCTGGGTAGAATCACGATGCATACTAACGTATGCCCGAGACGCCCGGCGAGAAAAACCTTTACTCCTCAGACGCTCGGTGACAACATCCACGCGTGCAGATTGAACTGCCCTGCATTTGGATGAAGCTGACGGGTGTGAGGGTGGATCAAGAGATCCGGTCTCACAGGCAGTGGAAGTGGCGACTGCGTGACCTGGGTCAGCAAGTCGGGGTACCACGATCTGTTCGGCAACATGGGCGCGATCAGTAACATTCGACAGCGAACTCCTCGGAGCCGGCTTAGAATGTGTGGTATCAACGCTGTCGGCAGGTAAGCATAAGCGTCCAAGCCCGTCCAGTCTAACGCGAGAGCATCGTGATCGATGGCCCTCGGGTCCGGGTGATACAAACAACGGGAGTTGATTGTTGAACCGCGTTGCGAACAGGACGACCATCGGACGACCCAAACGTTCGCACAGCCACTGAAACACTACTGGGTTCAGCATCCACTCTGTGGGGCTCGGATCCTGAGGCCTCGATAAAGCGTCGGCCAGTACGTTCCGAACACCTGGGATGTGACGGGCGCGTATCTGGCACGGGACACTGTCCACCAGAGCCTAAAACTCGAACGTGAGATCGAGTAGCGAGTGACTGTGGGTTCCCCCCAGTTTGTTCACATAGGACACTACCCTCGTGTTGTCGGTCGCCAGCATGAGCCGGGCGTCGACGAGACGATGCTTCCAGTGATTGACTGCGTTGATCACTGCCTTGAACTCGAGACAATTGATGTGAAGACCTAGTTCGTCTACGCACCACAGCCCCGAGCTCACCTCCCCCTCTAGATGGGCGGCCCAGCCCACTAGAGAGGCGTCTGTATACAGGTTCAACGTGGCCCGGTAGGGCCGCATAGAGACTCCTGATAAGACATTGTAAGGGAGCGTCCACCACTCCAGATGCGGTCGGAGCCGATCTGGGAGGGCGACGGTCGCACTGTTCACCTCCGTTGCTAACAACTGGATTAAAAACCGTTGCAGCGGGCGGAGTTGGAGCCGACCCCGTTCGGTGCAGTCCTGGGCTGATACAAGTAGCCCTAACAGCTCTTGCCAAAAGTGAACAGTCTGTTGCACCGCTAAGACTTTGGCAATCATCGCCTGAATTTTGTGCCACCGGTCTGGGGGGACAAATAGGTGATGGGACACCGTGTTGAACCGACCTCCGATGAACTGCAAGTTCTGAGAAGGGGTTAACTCGCTCTTGGGGAGATTGACAATCCACCCCAATTGCTCCAAGAGCCGACGTGCGAAAACAAGATGGCGGGACAGGGTGTCTGACATTCCATTTGCTACTAGCGAGTCGTCCAGGTAGGAACCCCACTATGGGGGTGGTTAACCGGGTGAACAGCCAGGGAGCGGATGAAAGACCGAATTGGAGTACAACCCACTCGTAGTGCCTGCCTTGAAAGACAAACCTGAGATACTTGTGATGATCCAAGTGAATCGGAACATGCAGATAAGCATCCTTCAGGTCGATCGAAGCTAGCCAGTCGGCCGGCATGATCAGTGCTTTCAGGTCCGTCAAGCTCAACATTCTGAACTTGGGCGGCTTGTGCAGGTAGAACTCGTTGAACGATTTCAAGTTGTGAATCATTCTGAGTTCGGCACTGTCCTTCTTGGGAACGAGAAATATCCTGGAGTAAAACCCCGGTGTTATTTCTGGTAGAGCTAACTCCCGAACTGCCCTCTTCTCCACCAACCTGCCGATAGCATCGGCGGGGAAGGGAAGAACGGTTTCCGAATAGAAACCTGCCGACGGGGCAACGGTGAGCGGCGGATTCGCTTTGAGATCGAGCCGATAGCCGTACCGAATCGTGTTGACCACCCACGGGTCGTTGAACACTTGTTCCCAATTCTCCCAGTAAGTCTGGAGTCTGGCTCCCACTGGAGAAAGAGAGGGGGGCTGGATGGGCTGCGGCAGGCACAACTGTCCAGGGCCAAGTGACTCGGGTTCGCCTACGGGCCAACCGAAGTTGGCGCTGTCGGTATACGAACCCCTCCAATGAGAGTCACCTGGAGGGGCCCTTGCCATCCTTAGACGACTTGGGCTTCCCCCAGTTCCCCTTCTTCCCGCGAAAGGGCTGCTGAAAACCCTTACCGGAGCCCTCAGAGCGGGGCTTCTTCCCGGAGGAAGAAGGACCCGACCCCTTAGGCCTGCCGGGCGCAGCATCCTGGGGCGCGCTCCGCTTCGGAGCGGCACCCAGGCGCTTATGCAAGGACCCCACAAGATCCAGTGTGTGCCGAGAGGCCTCGGCAGACACAGCGGCCTGTTGTTCCTTCAGAACCCCAGGGATCTTGTTATTAAACAGGGTCCGAGCAGACCAAGGCTGCGAAAGGAGCACCTCCTGATTGGCAGCGTCCAACCCTGAAGCAACCAGATACGACTGGCGCCGAAGAAAATGGCAAGTGCCGGAAACAAAGGCCGAAGCCCCGGCAACGTACTCCAGGGAAGCATTCAAACCGAGCAAGCAGTTGTAAATGCGCTGGTCTCGGTCCGTAGGAGAACCTTCGACCAGACTGGCCGCTGCAGCCAGGTATGTGTCTCCGTGAGACATTGCCAGCATGGAGTGTCGAGCGAGGGTGTCCAGCTGTTGCAAGGTACCTTGTGGTACCGTGGCAACCGGTGGGGCACGGACTCCCAAACGCTCCACATGGGCTTCCGCAGAAGGACCAGCCTCGGGAAAGGCAAGGTCATGTACTGGGAAAGACCCTTTTCTCCACGACGGGGGAGGTAACGGGAGACCCCGACCGGAGGCAGCCGTAAAGGCCTTCTCCAAAAAAGGCTTAATCCCGCGCAGCAAGGTTGATGCCGGAAAGCCTTGTCGGACGTCTCGTCGTATACCTCGGAGGAACCCACGGAACCGTGGATTCCCCGCGGTATCGGCAGGGGCTTTGGCATGTCCTCGAAGAGGTCATACACCATGGCCACGCGGTCCTTAACCGATAGCGGAAGCAACGGTTCGGGGGAAGGACCGGTAACCACGGCAGCCGCTGCCGTACCGCTGGACCCCGCGTCCGAACCCGCGGCCACCGAAGAGGCCGGGGACGGAACAGCCAGCAGCCTATCTTGCGATAAGGCCGCCAGCTTGGAGTCCACAAGTTTCGACAACAATGCGGCGACGGAATCCCCAGACAGCCCGAGGGCCGCAAGGGGATCCGAGGAGGTGGTCCCCGCACGGGGACCCCGACCGGACGAACCGGCCACCACAGGGGTGGAGACGGACTGCACGTACAGCCAAGCGTAGCTACCGCAACGCACCATAAAAGCACAGTAGTAGATTTCGCTATAGCAGCAGTTGTGGGAGACAACAGCCTCGGTATAACAGTGGTAACGTATTACTTAATGTAATATACGCGAACCCTGCAAGTATATAGAAAAAAGGGCGGGAAAATTATAACCAAGCGTAGCTACCGCAACGCCCCATAAAAGCACAGTTTATTAGAGAATAAACTATAATAAAGATCACCAAATATTCAAGGAACGCTTTAGCAGGAGAAATACACGTCTTGCTATGCAGACGAAGGAGACAAGAGTGAAGGGTGTCACATGGCAGCTAGGTGGCTACGCACGTGCTGTATGAGGTAATTGAGATCTCTGTGGTAGATTTCGCTATAGCAGCAGTTGTGGGAGACAACAGCCTCGATATAACAGTGGTAACGTATTACTTAATGTAATTAGCGTCAGTCATGGCGTCACACAGGACGGAAACTTTTACGGCTTCTGTTGAATTTACCACATCATTGTAATGTATATATGTGTATTTCCATAATTAGTGCAACGATACTCTTCCCATGAATATTCTCAAACGCGTTATCGAGCCAATGTATGCAACAATTAGACGAAAGTACCTCTAAAAATGCTACACAGTGTAAAATCTGAATTTTGCTTTGTTTACATTTCAGCAAGTAGTTTTCCGAGCACAGTTTTCGTTTCCATAACTAATGTATTTCTCATGATTTCACCTAGATAATCGCATTAGTGACAAAGACCATTTATCTATTGTTTCGAAAATGTATGAGGAAGTCAGGGATGCATGTATAGCAGCTGAGTTTGAAATATACCTGATCGAATAGGCGTCTCATAACCAGCATTTTGTAAACACAATCCAATATGGCGTACACTTCGTCGTTCGTGTATGCGAATTTTCCCAAACATTCTAAACGATTCTAGGCTTATCAGCGACGTTTCAGAATTATCATTAGTGATTTGATACCCGTGATCGCTAATATGCTATTTTCCTACTTTAATTATTCGAGTAAATATCCAATATTTAGATTTCTAAACACACAGTAAATATCTACATAATGCCGTGATTTGTGATTTGGCGAGATTTACAATGTACCTAATTTCCAGAAGTCACTTTCAGTAATTTTGAATTGCCTAAAATGACAGTAAATGATAAACAGAAGGGGGAATTCAAAACTGTGAAGTGTATTAGTCTGCGTGATGTATTTTGAATTTTATTCGACTTCGCCGGAGTGTGGTTCAATACAGATTTACGAGGGTGAACATTCGACTGAAGCACGAGCAACTTATGAATTACACTCAGGAAAGTAGTCCGTCATCATCTGACCTCAGGTCATCACCATGGAGTAACCAATCAGGGGCTTCGAATTCGATCTCACACATATGTTTGATACCAGTTATCTCAAATGGGTTTCTCACCCACAGGTGTGTAAGAAAAGCTGAGCTTCATAACCAGGTCAATCTTGAAGTGGATTAGGTGTGCAGATGCTGGCACACCTAAGGGATGCATCTCGGTACACATTAGCCCACAACCCATACCATCTGAAAGCCTTAATACCAACCGGTTTGAGGTGTTTTGGCCAGGACGGACTCTGAGTTTTGGGGTAGACATGTGTAAACCAGCTGATTGCTTCATCCCGCTGCTTTCCTCCTTCTTCAGCCTTCACCTTCAGCATCTCCTTCGGGGTCGTTGTTGGCAACAGACACCATCTGAAAAACAGAAAAAGCAACATTTCTTTCTAAAACATGTTAAACTGGTTAGCTGTGAGTGCGACAGATAAGAACAGGATTGTTATGTTATAGGGAATTAGAGTATTCCCCTTATTATACACTTATCCTGACACAACAGTATGCAATATTCCTTCTTGAATCAACAGACCTAGTAAAATCCTAGGTATTTTTTTATATTTGTATACTTATCCTGCATTACTCCTTAATGCATTTTACTGCTTGTTCTTGACAGAGAAAAGAGCTGTGTGAAGGTCTTTGCTTGAGGAAGTTGTTCCAACTAGCTGAGAGGCCAACCCTATCAAGCAGCTCCCACGTGACCAAGAGAAGTGACGTCACGGATCCTCACATTACTCTGGAGTCCAAAACATCGGCAGGCATCATGGGGAGGTAGATCTGCGATGGGTGGGTCCCTTTAGACGCAGTTATGCAGGATAAGTATACAAATATAAAAAATAGCTAGGATTTTACTAGATTTTTTACTTATCCTGCATTACTCCTTAATGCATCTTTATCGGATATACCTTCAGATGTGGACTTTTATTTCCAGACTCCCTAGCCAATCCTCGGCTGTGTGGTCGGCTTCGGGTGACCATTCCATGTATGGGAACCTCCAATTCCCTCAGCTCGTCCTCGGCTGTGTGGTCAGCATCGGGTGACCACTCCATGTATGGGAACCTCCAATTCCCTCAGCCCGTCCTCGGCTGTGTGGTCAGCATCGGGTGACCATTCCATGTATGGGAACCTCCAATTCCCTCAGCCCGTGCTCGGCTGTGTGGTCGGCTTCGGGTGACCATTCCATGCATGGGAACCTCCAATTCCCTCAGCTCGTCCTCGGCTGTGTGGTCGGCCTGGATGACCATTACATGGAAGGGAAGAGTCAGGTATGCGTTGTGTCCTGGTACTGCGCAGCCTGACAATAACTGTCGGTTAGGTCGAGACTGGAGTACCGAGCCGAATGCAAGTGGGGCATGAACCTTCTAGTCCAGGGCTTACGCCAGGGGAGGTCGAAGGGCCGGCTCTGGACTTGGAGGCGAGGTCAGTGACGTGTAGTAGAGGAGCCTGTTGGCCACTACTAACGGACCAAGTTGTGCGCGCCTAGCACATCCTCCAATGCGATATCTCGCATATAGTGACTGGCGACGAATGTGTTTGATCGTCAGAACACCTCTCAATGATGGCAAGTAGAGCTTAGTTGCTGTGTACCGCCATGGTGGAGGCGATCGCCTGGGTCTCATGTGGGTTGTTGGAGCCTGGGCATGCTGGGGGTCCAATCCCGCGGCCTCGTAGACCTGGAGAATGAAGGCTTGTAGCCAGAGGGTGATCGTGTAGCGAGCGCCAGTAGGAAGACCATTTTTTCATCAGATTGTAAGATGACGTCACTTCGAGCGGCTCGAAGGGTGCGTCTCTCAGCGAGGTATGAATAACATTTCAAGCCCCAAGCTGGTGTACGAGATTACGCCTTTTGGTCTTCCAGCCTGAATGAGCGGAGCAGAGCCTGTAGTTCAGGGATTTACGTCATGTGCTGATCTTCCGGAACTGCCAGGACAGAGTTGAGCGCCACAAGGTAGGTCATGATGGTACTGCCCTTGAGCTTATGCTTGTGAAGCAGATGGAGCATGAACTCAGCCAGGAATTGACGCGATGCAGATGTGGGGTCTTGTGGCTGTGGCTGTCTGCTGTGAGGGTGGATCAGCAGATTTGGTCAATCTGGAAGTGGCAGTGGGTTGGCGTCAGACAGCTCTCTGCGGTCGACGAACCAAGCCCTTGCTGGCCACCAGGGTGTGACCCAAGTCAGATCGAGGTTCTGTGCCGATCTGCTCTTCTGGACGACTTTGGGAAGGAGTACAGGTGGCGGAAAAGCGTATGCTTTTAGTCCTTCCCCGGGGGCGCTGAAAGTGTCAACTGCCCAAGCCAGTGGATCCGGGACCGGGACCGGGGATATGTCTCGACAAACATGAGCGAAGGCGTCTGGGTGAAGCTTCCACATTGAAGGAGCGACTTTGCCTGGCCGAGATAGAGCATCCGATAGGATGTTTCGGCAGCCGGAACGTGTTGAGCCTGGAACTGAATCCCCAGATGATCCACCAGGTGAAACAATCGGAACGTCTGTTGAAGGAGTGAGGTCGAATGAGTCGTTCCTGGGTTCCGTAAGAACCATACAGCGGTTATCAGGGTATGAAACTCCCAAAAATTTCAGCCAGACCACAGGACTGGCTAGCTGAAATACTTGCCAGCCCTGACCAAAACCTGCCTGCCCACTATAATCATATGTTTCTCAGGATAAGCTAACGGGGTTTGGTTACATTTTATCATTCATCTTTACATGTGAATTAATGCTTATCATCGTGAAATATTTAGAATATTGTCACATATGAAATATAACCCGACCGTCGGGCAGGGGGATTTGAAAATCTGGCAGCCCGAGTTGAAATCAACCCGTCTCAGACGGTCGGGCAGGCAGGTATTTCGAACACCACGGTTATGTTGCCCGTCGAAATGGAGGGATGGGGGTGTCTGAGGGCCTGCTTCCAGTGAGCGATGGCCAATATAAGCGCCTCGAGTTTCGAGGTTGTTGATATGTCATAGGCGCTGATCGGCGGACCACAGCCCCGAGGCGACCTGTCCCTCCAGGTGTGTGCCCCATACGAATAGGCGCAGAGAGGTTGTAAGCCCTGTCAAGGAGACGCTGCCTCAGACATTCGATTCCACCGTCCACCACCAGAGATGCTGCTTGAGATGATCCGGGAGGACGATTGAACATCTGAACTGGGCGCAGTCAGATCCTTCCTCTGTAGGTCAATTACCGCCCATAGGTAATGGACCCGGTCGTCGGGTTGTATAGGGACATGTCGATAGTCGTCCTCCATATCCAGGTTGATGAATACATCCTGTGCCTGGATCCGGGATCGCAGCAGCCTGAGGTGGTCATCCTGAAATAAAGTGGACCCGCCAGGTAGCGTTTGTTGAAAGCAGCGAGGTTGTGGATCATCCTGTGTTTGAGTCCTTGGGGACAAGGGAGACAGGTGAAAAGAAGCCCAGTGTTATGGCTGGGGCGTGGATAACCTCTATCGCTTTCTTGTCCAGCAGCGCTGAGATGTACTGGCCTAGTACTGGCTTGGTAGCTGCTGTTGAGTAGGGGGGTAGGTAGCGGCGGGTCGTCTATAAGCGCCAGCTTGTACCCATGTCGGATGATGTTGGCGACATATGGGTCCCCCAGGATCTCACAATTCTGCCAGAAACGACCAAGTCTCCCACATACTGGAGTGTCGACAACTTGGACGGCTGGGGGTGGAAGTCCCAGTTGTGCCTGTCTGGCTATTCACTTGAAGTCCCTGCGGTCGGCATTACCTCCCTTGGAGTTGCCGCGGCGGGACTTTTATGCCCCCGATGCCTTGCCTTTTCCTCTGCCTCGAGAGGTTGAGGTGCCACTGGGGCTGGAGGGTGTTGCGTCACGGCTGGTATGAGCCAAACTGGGACGCCTCGGCGAAGGCTGGCTGTGACACCCTAGCCGGGGTCTTGAGAGCTGTCTCATCTCGGGCGAAGGCTGAGACTCAGTGGAGTCATTGGTGTACAGTGACAGGTGTCTGGTCGAGTGGTTGCAGTGTTTTACGCATAAGCGATCATGCCAGCCAGTCTGTACAAATCCCATAAGGTCAGTTGACCTGATTACGGTCGACGATGTTTACAGTCAAAGTTCTTGACACGTGACATGTATGTCGTCCTCCGCAGTAAACTGAGTGGACTAGTTCAAGCTCCACACACGGCCAATCCCCTGTGGTTGACAGACCAGTGGTGTGTCCCAGTTCTGAGTAGTACTGTGACGTTGCCGGTGTAGGGGCAAGTTGATCCCCATGAGAAGAGTGACGACTGGTCCGGTGTTGTGAATGATGACCCAGTCGGGTACCCGGAAGTATATGACGATTCTGGTGAATACTGTATCTGTCATGGGGTTGTGATCATCAACTGTGGTGCAGATATTATTGCAGATATGTTCGCTTTCTCCGAGGAAACGTTCAACCAACGTTGATAGACGAGGAGAATTGGCGGGAGATTTCCACAGAACCGTCACCACGAGGTTAGGCACTTCCAGGATCTTGGGAAGTGTTGGAGCGCCGTTGTATGGATGCCAATCAAAATCCGTGTTGGAGCGCCGTTGCATGGACGCCAATCAGGTGTCCAGCGACCGCTCTAGTCTCCGTAGGTAGTTGGCCTTGGGAGCTGATGATCTCATAGGCCTGTAGAATGAGAGCACGTAGCCACAAGGATATCGTGGAATGGCTTATTGTCTGTCTGCGCGGTTGTCCTGGGTGTGCCTCTGTAGAGGCGCAAGGATAGGCGTAACCAGGGACGTTAGGATAGACACCGTTATGGACACTGTAGACGGTGCTTTTTTAAAGGCGTCTGTTTAAGGATAGGCGCTATCTAGTAGAGGCGTCTGCAGAGGCGCTGTGGACGGTGCTTGTCGAGGCGTCGGTATAGGCGCTGCGGCAATGGGCGTCGGCGTCTGTTGTATGGCTCGCAAGTACTGATGTACGTACTGGAGGAGAGGGACGTCAATCATAGGCGTCTGGGCCGTAGGCGGGGTGCCTGTTGGGCGCCATGCGTCTTTTCGGTGGACTGGATAGGCGCCATTAAGATAGACGCAGTAGTGGTCGTCAAGGAGCTCTGGGTAGATACTGAGACCATGGGCCCCGACATCATGGTAGTAATGGAGATGGGGGAGTTGTCGTCCGAGATAGCCGATCTGGTTGTGGGCGAATACTCAGATAAGTCAGACATCTGGCGCAGGTGATTACCTGGCCTGTTGCGTTCTGTTTCCTGGACATACGGACGTACCGTCTGAAAGCTGTTGGGGAAAGCGGAGACAGTCTGTACATCTATGACCCTGGGGACATTTAGATGTACAATTAAGGCACAGCGGGTGGAAATCCCACGCCGACATATTACACCGGCACTTTCAGCATAATATCTGCAATGAAGCAGTGTAAAATCAAAATGTGTCCCCTCCCGATTATGTATGCTATAATTTGTTTATCACACTGCGTGGGGTTAAAAAACAATTATTACGACAAACGTAAGACAACATATAAAACAAAGACAAAATACTTGCGAGGGTACGCCAATGGTGGGGTACAAAGCAAGAAGAATACAGAACGCAAGCCAGTTAATAACTGGCCACGTAAAATATTCAAGATGGTTACTTGAAACAACAAGACACCGGGGTTTACCACTGTTTTCTATCTTAAGAAAACGCCAGCAGGTGTACAAAAGTTATGCACATGTTAAAACATACAATGTTTCACAAGATACAAACCATGTGCACAACACAAGCACAATGAACATTAACTCAAGAAGAAAAAAACGTCTTCTCTCAGCAAGTGACAGGAGTAATGTGAGGATCCGTGACGTCACTTCCTTTGGTCACGTGGGAGCTGCGTGATAGGGTTGGCCTCTCAGTTAGCTGGAACAACTTCTTCAAGCAAAGACCTTCACACAGCTCTTTTCTCTGTCAAGAACAAGCAGTAATATGCATTAAGGAGTAATGCAGGAAAAGCAAAAAATATAAGGGATCTATCCTCTATTTTGAGGCACGAGGACGTGGAATGACCCAAAGTCTTGGTCTGCATCAAGGGGAGGTGCCCAAAATGGAAATGAAATCCCATGCAATTTAAAGCGGGACGAGGTGATAGCGGGTTTTGGAAGCAAACCCTTAAGGGCTACATTATCCAAAGCCTGCTGCAACAGCGCAGGAACATTGTCGACCAAATAATGAACTTGGGATCAAAAGAGCATTTTGCGGAAGGCAGTGGGACAGGCTCCTTGTATCAATAATGATACACAGAAATCAATCCTTAGAGGCGTAGAGTGGCTGCTCCTCAGCCTTAGAGGTAGCAACCCTAGGCGCTGAGTCGCAAGAGGCAGCCCTTGGTGAAAGAATGCACATGCTCAGAAGCACTGTCAAGAGACGATGAACAGGATCTGGAACCCCGAGCAGGAGAACCCGGGGCACAAGGAGCTCGAGACACCAGATCAGGCGTGACGGATGACAACTGAAGTAGGGGGGTACCCCGAGGAGACGAGAGTGGTAACTGGAGTACAAAACTGACGTCTATGTCAATGAGCACCTTGAGGGGAGGTCACCGGTGGTGAGCCAACCCAAGGCAGAGTCTGCGATGGCTGCGCCTGAGAATAAGTGGGACCAGGGTGCACCAGAGGAGGCAAAGTGGGCACCTGATGAGGCAATAGTGGCAGAAGAGCTTGCGCTTGCTGTGAGTAAAACAGGGGAGGCCAAGTGGAGGGCACCTGGAATGGCTGTGGATAAGCAGGGTGATCATCCCAACATCCAAGGCTGATAACCCTGTAGCTGCGCCTGTGTCTACAGTGTCTGGTGAGGCGCGTGGAGAAACGCTTGAGGCGGCGCTTGTGCCACGTGAGGATGCACTGGGAGGGGACCCGGAAAGGTAGGCGGCGCCTGGCTAGGTACATGGAGATACGTCTGAGGAGGCCCCTGAAGGCCCCAGATCTACTGAAACAATGGGATGCAAGACGAGGCTTGCCAATAGGCATCAGTGGCAGACGACAGAAGGCGAGGTGACGCTGTCGCTCCCAAAGAGGCGCAAGTAGCATGGCAAGTGCCATCATAGTACCCATCGGATAAGTTCAGGAGAAAACAGATAAGTTAAAAAATTGATTACTGAGAGAGAGAAAGAAATACAAACGACAAAATGTCATTTAATTAGTAAATTACCTGCACTAAGTCCAAGTCAACATTCCTACCAGATGGGATTATACTACATCTTTTTTTACGTTTGAAACCAGGAACAAGAACAATGTTCTGCAAATGTGACGCTGATTATTCCAGCTATTTTGCTATGATGAGTTTTCGGTAGAAAGCCCATAGAGAAACAAAAGCCTAAGACACAAGCTCACACTGATAACCATTCCATAAGCTTACTTGAACTTTCAGTTCAGATATCAATGGCAAGAACTCTGCTAATCACCTTTTGTATCCATTCACAAGGGCATTCCAAGCACTGGTTCCCAAGGGGTCTATGTGTATACCCGTTCCTGATCTCCCAGGGCCCATCACAAACCATCTGAAACAAGGAATCAGCTAGCAGTGTCCCAGGAGCACCAAACATGAAATACATAGAGAATACGAAATGAGCTCCTGTGTAATGAGTTTGGTAAACAAAGTACCTGGCATGAGCAAATCAAGGGCAGGCAACTCCATATTACCGCAGTATGGCTATTTTGTGGTGTGATACGTGTGGATTATGTGGTTTACATCACTTTTTGTTTTGTATTATGCATAATCAGTATGCAATTGACTGAGGTTGGATCAAAGGACTGCGTCTTAACAAATGGGTTCTTTTCTAATCAATTTCTAATTGAGGTAGGGGTAATTCCACTTCAAAAATATTCCAGAAAATCTAAAAAAAAGTTAATGAGCATACTTTCGAGTAGCTGTGAAATTCGCAACAAGTCCTGTATTCGATCATGAGATGAAATATTGTGCTTAGATTTGCATTAGTAAACTGTCCAGAGGGGGCATGGATCACAAGATTTACCGATAATGTGATAATACAGAGCCCGCAATAATACATTATATGATAAAGAATAAAATTGAAAACTTGAGTATGTAAGCATTGTTTTCATTTAGCCGACTCTATATATTTAGTTATTCTACAACAGCCTATTTGTGGTTTTGTTTCTTAAAGTTTGTCACTATAAGTGACTATATGATCCTTGTCAACCACAGTTTCATATTTACCTTATTCAGTGAAATATGTCATATCCTTATAAGGAAGTCATTTCACATGATTGTCGTAAACTTTGACAGCTTCAGCGATGACTAGCCAAAGACAAGACTACAACTACTGTTAACACTTTTGAAATTGTATCCAGCTGCTTATAACTCCTTCTTTGGTGAGTTATGAGGAATTGCAAAACACATTTAGCCAGAACAGTTTTCAGTGTTTAAACATTTAAAGCACCCTAAGACATGTTGACTAGATTTATCAAGGAAATGCTGGATCCTGAACACTCTTACAAAAAGCTATTGATATGCCAATTATGTCATAACTCATTGATGTAATTGTCACAGTTACGACATGAACTCACAACTCAGTACAGCAGCATCAGAACAGCCATTGAACTGAATCCATAAACTTCAAATCATTGGTAGATCTAGATAAAACATTCACAAATGTCTGCCCCAATGACCCATGGCTGATAACCCATGTACTACCTTTTTAATTCGGCAAACTCACTATGTGGAGTTTTTTAAACTGCATTTATTAAGTTAGACATTAACATGGAGAATTTTGTGTTAAAATATTCATTATTATCAAACTTCCATTTTAAGAAATTATTTGTTCCTTAATCATGTTAATGTAAACCTCTTGGTCATGAGAGCAGGATGTGCCTGGATGTAAACATTTTCTCACTTTGACTGTTTGTTAAACCACTGTTCTGTTGTTTATGTTATATTATAATGCTATAAATTGGACTCCTCTATTTTTGTTTGGGACCCCTAATTTTATGAAGAAAGGTGTCCAAGTGAACCCACGACAACTGAAGCCAGAGCAGACACTGCAAGGATATCACTCAGGGCTTATCTTGGAATTAAACCCAAAACTAGCAGATCCTTCAGAGCCTAGGACGCAACTTCCTAGAATAAATTTTTCATATTAACATTACCATTTATTTTCAAATACAGGATCATAACTTCAGCATGTTAAACGACACTCTGGACATGCCCATTTTGTTTTTAGGACCCCGCCAACACTGCATTCTGTTTTTTACCTGTATGGTGGTCTCCGAGATTCACCAGCATAACTGAACAAGTCATCACTGAAATAATTGGGCACATCATAATCCTCTAAAAGTCGCTTTCTCTTGGGATGCTGAAACAGTTCAGTGTGAATTGAGAGGTAAGTACAATCAGTGTATGTCACTAAATTCACTGACAGTAAACATGGTAAACAATACAATCTCAATTAAATCAGTTTGGGCTTTAATTGTAAAATCCTCTTCCAAACCAATGTTGATCTTCCACATTTGTTTCTAATAACACAACAGCTTTACCTCTCACGACAACCACACCAACATGCATAGTCCCAGTCAGGTCTTCAGTAACATCTTACCTCTCCATAGCTGCTGTCAAATATGTACAGTGGGCTGTCATCTGTATTGTTCTTCATATAATCTACAAAATACTTCATCTTCAACTTCACAGAATATCCCTCATCATCCTCACCACACTTGAAACGCTGGTTGCGATATTTCTTTGATAATCGCTACAACAGACAAATGTTCCAGTTTATGGTCATAGTTCATCATGTATAGGTCAGTCACCAGATCAAGATAATTTGCCTGCTCAGATAATGAAAACATGATGAAAAAAGACCATTCAAGGCTTAACACTAAGCATTTCTGTTGAAAAAATGATTACCTGATCACCTCCTGTGTGTAGACAGGAGTTTGCCGTTACCCCCTTCAATAAATGATTACAGACTTCAGTTTTACATGTTTAAGAAAAGTTCTGTGGAGCAGAGAATTGGTGTAACAGTTATTCATGATTATGAGACATTAGTTTTGAAAGCCATATATCGGCAGTGAAGGAAGCCAGATACTTAATCATAGCAAAATTTCAGCATCAGGATGAGGAGATATAGAAAACCCTGTAATGAAATGAATGAGATATGATCTCAAAGATGTCAACCCGCAACCAGTTGATTATGCAATGGCTAAGAAATAAGACCATTATGAAATACAAACCCATTCACTGAGCATGTTTTTCTATGAATGGTATCCACAAACAAACCTCAAGGGACCATTTCCTCTGAGCGTCCCAGCTACTCTGTGCTTCTGTGAGGACCACCGGTACATAGGTTTTCTCATACTTTTCCACAAATTCTGCATGGCTAACTTTGGAAACATCTACACGAATCACATTGTCCTTGACCAGTGAGAGGCTCAGGTCAAACTTGTTGCAAAAGTTGTATTTGTACCAGCCATTTTTTTCACCGCTTAGCTCTAGAAAAATAAATTCACATTTGACATGAAACTGAAAGTGTACATATTCACTACTGACACCAGGAGGACAAGTCAACTATTTAATCGGTACTGAACAAAAGTAGTGAGTGAAAGTGGCTTGGGTGGAGGTTTCATGACATATTCATGTATATAAAATATTCAACACCAAACAACTTCCTCCTGCTCTCTCAACATTTGTGTGAAGAAAAAATGCAACTTAAAATTTCAAAGCAATACCCTGCAATTGACAAATGCAGTTACTTGCTTTGGCTCCATTGCTTTAAAATGTTTGAGAAGAGGTTATAACTTCCTTCACACCTCTTTTCCATCAACATCATTGTCATTACAAAACAAAGCCTTACTAGAGTAATTAATTTATTGCAAAAGTTAGATAGTGTTCGGATCATTCATAATCACTTTAGCTCTAGCTCTGATTTCAGAAACTGGCTCTTGCTTTAAAATGCACCACCACATGCTATAGTTGCTAAATGTTACAAACTCTCAGCATCACTGGGTTTATGCATATGAAATTGCATGTAGAGATTAGGGCTGGGACAGGTGACTCGGGTCGGGTGGGTCCTGAGTAGGACCCGGGTACCCACAGTACTACCCGGACCCGTTATTAATCATGTGACATATTTTTTAGTGACAAAAACTCACTATAGCTCAGTGGTTACACTACATCACTAATGTTTGCATTTCTTTCTGAAGATGCACACATTCATTTTGACTTCTATGTGTTTGAGCACATATAAAGCTTTAATCAACTTAAGTGTATGCATAATTTGATCTTTTCATTAGAGACTAAATCTATATGGTCTCTGGTTTCATAAATGTATCTAAACAGTTTTTGTCAGTTAAACTATTTCCAATTAGACATTGTGTTCCCATCTCTTGAGACCTACAGTGGATACCCGGGTAGGGTCGGGTAATAGGGGGTCGGGTAATAGGGATTCGGGTAATAGGGATTCGGGTACCCAGGTAGTAAATTTGGGTTCTTCCCAGCCCTAGTAGAGATGATAGATCTCTGAGCTGATGGAATACTGGTTGCTAACAGAAACAACATACTGACATTATTTACAGTACAGGCTAGAATGAGACTAGTGTATGATAAGAACATGATTCTGGGAACAAGCTATTTATTCAACAAATCAAATAAGTCTTTCAATTTCAATTTTCAATTTCAGTCCACAGTGGGATAGTGGACAACTTACACGTGTTGGTAATTAGAAATACTGGCAACATCGGGGTAGACACATACAGAGACTGACACCATATAAGCTATTATATCTAGTTATGTAATATTAGTATATGTAAATATGACATCTCCGTTGCGTTAATCTAAATCTCCATTCATTTTTCACTGCAGGCCCCGCGTGCGGTGAGTCACGTACACAAAATGCCCCTTCTCCCAATCGTGTCATTGCAAAGGGCCCAGTGAAAACACGTAAGCCGACAATACGTCTTCTTAAACATTTATGCGTAAATGTATGTCATTAATTGGTCTGCAGCAATATGAATACGTAAAATAATATTAACTAATACAGTTTCTAGTAACAGATTTAAAGCCCACAACACCGAAAACGTGTGACATTTGATTATAAAACCATAACATGGCAACGCTACAGTACCTGGTCTCGCTCTCGATTTCGCTTCTCTAATCCTTTTTCTAGCTCTGTGGTCCATAGAAGGACGTGCACGGTTTATGATTTTCAGTTAAAATTAATAATATAAACAATAACCACTTTCGGTAGCCTATTATTTTGATTTTTGTATCAGTGCCAAATATTTCTTCTTCTTTCGCGCACTGCTAACGACTAGCGCCCCCTAACGCTTCCGGTTATAGTTATTGGTTCACACTGTATCTTTCATGTTTATCTCGGAAAAGCAGAATTGGTTATCGTGACGAAGATTAACGGAAATAGTCGAGATACTCCGACGTAATGATAAAGGGAGGTAAACAAATACAAAATTGCATACCGCTTAAAACGTAATGGACGGCTTTGAAATGTCGTTATTCATAATGTATTCGAATTTATTTATTTACTCAAAAAACAACAACATTGAAATATGAAATAGGTGAAAGCTAAAAAGCGGGCACAGTATTTACACTTCATATATGACGATTGTATCTCAACTAATAGCAACTAAAGGCATATTTATACTGTAAGCCGGCCTATATACGATCTAGGGACATTTACAATGTTTATGAATTTGCAAATATGTCATTAAGTTTGCCTGATATGCTGGTCATAAAAAAATATCGAAGAGTTAACACTAGGTAAGAATATGGGTCTCAGCAAACCTCTCGAGATCACTTTATCAAGACCAATCACACTATGTAAAGATTCAACTTGAGAAGCCTGGAGATTGTGTCGAGCAATCGGTGTTGTTACATTGACACGTAAGATATGTAATCACTGTTAATAAAGTTCTTAAAAATCTTAAACTTATATTTGTTCAAACCCACTAAGCGATGGCCCTAAATGTGATTTTTCAAGAATTCAAGAGGTTATTTTGAAACATGGATGGCCATGTAAATCCGTATCCCCAGAAAGCCCCAACAACTTATGACAAGAGTTCACAGTTGAGTGCACAGCTATTCCCCTGTCTGGTACCTTCGTAACTGAATGGATTAACCCAAACAAGGAGCCAAGCTGTAGGGAGATATTGATTTATTGAGGTTCACTAACGAAATCAACGGCACATTTTAGTCACCAAGCTTACTTATTATCATATATTTGCATAAATATATTTTATCACATACCACGGATAAGATTGTTAATCTCGGCTTATTTCTTTTCAACTTATCCTTACTATCATGTGTTGAATCTGTATTAATTTTTTATGCAGCTATAACAAGAGGTGAAGTTGTAAACTGAGTTGAGAACTTGAAAAATAACAAAGTTGTTGGTCTTGGTAACATATGATTAATGAATGAATTTCAACCACTAGTGATGTCTTTATTGATAGTTTTATCAAACATTTTAAAATGGCTTTAGAAACTGGTGCAGCTGTTATCAAACCAATCTTAAAAAAGGGGGAATTATTTAAATCTAGGAAAATGAAATTATTTTGCGCGTTGGCGAATTTTCAGAAAGCATTTGGTACATATTGGTACAATAGCAACGTAACATATGATTAACGTACTTTAAAACTCCTCTTGATGTTTTGGAAAAAAGTTGATTCCCACAAATACCGTGGCCTGACCTTTCCCCCGAAATCAAAAGTTATTAGAAAAAGCAACGAAAGCTATGTTCTGTGTTTTATCTCTTGGATGTCAATTGCAGCTTTTCAACAGTATGCTTACACCAGTTGTTCTCTACAGATGAGAAGTATGGAGATTTGACAACATCGCCAATACAGAAGGTGTCCATTTAAGTTTACGAAAACATCTTTTATCATGAAGAAAATATACTCCAAACTTCATGGTACATGGGGAACATGGAATATAAATTAAACTTAGTTAATATGAAAATGATATGTTTTGGGCCACAAGGACTCTGGGAATTCATCTAAATTATCCTTTCCTTATATACAAGTTATAAGTTCAATGACAGCCATTATATATATATATATATATACACACTAACGGATAAAAGAGACGCCATCAAACAATTTTCTATTGGTCTAAAACAAAACAGAATCAAAATTTAGTGACAGTTGATGTTTAATTATAAAGAAACAATTATTCAAAAACGGTATTTGAAAATGACAAGATCAAAAACCACGTACTTACAGTTCTGTAGACTCGTTTATCATGCTGGGTGCACTGTCCAGTATTCGATCACACCCGCAGAATCGACGTCGATCTCTTTTTTAAAAGTCCCCTGCTACACACATGGGCAACGATGCAGGTCCTTACACAACGTCGAAATGAGTACACGAGTCTCCTGACATTCTGATCAGGGAACCTACGCCATTCTTCCTGCAGGGCAATTGCCAAGGCATCCCTTGACGTTTCCGAATCCTGCGTCCAAGTTGGTCCCAGAGGTGCTCTATGGGCGACAGGTCCGGTGATCTGGCTGGCCACTGTAATGCGGTCACGTTGTTGGCGTTCAGAAAGTCGCTAGTGACTCGAGCTGTGTGATGCCTGTCCTGCTGAAACAGCGTACGTGGGTGTCGTTGCAAGTAAGGCAGTACCACAGACATACCTGACATATATTGGGGGGGGGGGGGGGGGGGGGGGGGGCGCACCCCCCCCCCCTTTTTATTTCGAAAACAATCTTTATTACTGTATAAATTACCACCAACGACAATAAACAGATCTTAATTGTGCACACACCCCCCCCCCCCCCCCCCCCCCCCTTTTCATGAGGCTCCAACTCTTGGACGCAACAACGTGCCGTCCGTTCCCCACGCCGTCTGTAGATTCGTACCCGCCCATCAGACTTGAAGAGCTGGCACCTACACTCGTCGCTGAAGCGCACTCTTCGCCAATTTCTCTGTTGCCACTGCTGTAGACTCCTGGCCAATCTCAGTCTGTGACGTTGGTGTAGAAACGTTAACGTCATGTCCTTGAAAGGTCGATAGGCACGGAGATAGGGCTGGGACGAGTCCACATTTATTACCCGGGTATACCACTAAACAATATATCACGTGACTAACCACGGGTCCGGGTAGTCGTGTGGGTACCGGGTCCTACTCAGTACCCACCCGAGTTACCCGTCCAAGCCCTACACGGAGACCATACAGGCGGAGTCGTCCACCAACGGTCCTTCTGCTGACTGGATGTCCAAGGCTGTTTGCGGATAATGACGTCACAGTTAGGAATCTGGACATTAGGTGAAGCACCCGTAAATATCGGTCTTCCTGTGGGGTCGTGTCCTTGGGTCTTCCAGTCCTCGGCCTGTCTGCAGTACTGCCAGTTTGCCTGTGACGCGTGACAAGTCTGGCGATGGTGCACTTGAAGCAGCCCATGATCCTGGCAACGTGCTTCCTCTTCGCTCCCATTTGCAACATACCGATGGCTCTCTCCCTCTGCTCTGCGGTTAGTTGAGGCATGTTCGTTGTTTTAAACGGTTTCGTGCACATTTTGCATTTTCTAGTGATTAAATTCTCTTTTCTCGCAAATCACGTGAAGTACGTGCACCTGTTCACAGGGAATAGGTAGGTTGCATTCCAGCTTAGTGTTCCCAAACTGTTTTCGTGATGTTTGCCAAATATCTGGGCAACTATTTATTTAAAAATTAGTGCCGTTTCTTTTTCCCGCTGGTTTATATATATTCACTCACCGACAAAAGAAACGCGAATACCATACACGTTGGTTAATATATGAAGAATTATTCTTATTCAAGAAATATTAGACAGGTTCAATGCACAACGGACATACTGGTATATTGTGTGAATCGACGCTCATGAACGCATCACATGTGACGTCATATAGATCCATGACTCGAAGGGCAGCATTTGTCCCGTGCAGGATATGCGTGTAAAGTTTGGAAATCACGTGCATCATATCATGATAAGAATAAAGACACTCTGTTGTAACGCTTGCCTGATTGTGGAGCGGTCGGGTAGCCTAGTGGTTAAAGCGTTCGCTCGTCACACCGAACACCCGGGTTCGATTCCCGACATGGGCACAATGCGTGAAGCCCATTTCTGGTGTCCCCCGCCGTGATATTGCTGGAATAATGCTTAAAGCGGCGTAAAACCTAACTCACTCACTCACTTGACTGATTGTTAATTTTGTCGTTAAGTGGAATTCATTTGCACCACGATAACGTACATACTGCTCTATATGTTTCTATGGTTTGTGTTTCTTTTGGCGATGGGTATATATGCATGCATGCTCGGGTAAGATGTTTTGTATTTATTTTATATTTATATGTTCATGTTTATGTTGCTGACACGATTATGTACCTCTAATGCCGCTGACAGCGGCCTGAGTGTAAATAAATGTTCAGTTCAGTGAATTAGCTTAAACCTTCATTGGATAGTTCTAGAATTACAAAAGGTAAATTTCCTTTGTTGTTTTAACTAAGTGTATGGGTATTGGGGTGTAGGGGACTTGGCATGTGGTAGTTTGGGGAGACGATCAGCAAACCATGGTTTGCCAATGTAATACTGTTATGAAAGTTCTACCTTCTGATGGGAAACTGATACCCGCCATTTCACAGTTCAAACTGTCAACTATGTTTGTGAGGTTACTGGTTGCATTGACGTTTGAAGGCAAGTAACCGTCTCACTCGACTCATCCCAGTGGATACTTTCATGTCACTAACACATCCCAGGTTTCAAGATACATGTATTCACTTTCTTATGTAACAGTTTGTTTGTTTGTTTGTTTGACGCCCACTCAGCAATGTTACAGCTTTATATATAACGACAGAACAGACAAAGCTTTATTTACCCTCAGCCCGGGGTACTCGGCACATGAGTTACACATTTACAAGCAGTATATATATACATTAGATGGCGGGTTGGTTTAGTGACAGATTTTACAGTTTTCATAATGAGTGTTTATAACACTTATTTTTTTACAATTGAAACATTCTTCAACTTTAAAACATATTTGTGTTTTTATCATATGGAATTGGAACATATATTTTCCGTTGGTGTTAAAACACACACACAAAATATCATTGAATTCATAACTAACATCGCTCAAGTCACAGAGTTTACACGTTCGTTCATTGACAGGAATTTTGAGCCATCTACCGAATTCTATAGGTAAACGGCGGCATGAGGCTCTAAACGAGAGGAAGGGATAAATAATAAATACTTTTCAAGGAAGACGAATTAGAAGAATTTGTAATCTCTGCATTCCATGTTTGAGTTGCTATATCAGATAATCTTAAAGAAAAGATAGATTTAAGGACATTAGGAGGAACTGCTTGTTGCCTTC